GAACCTGGTTAAATTCCTGATCTAAACACATCTGAAAATCTGTTTTCAAGTGAAAGAAGGCAGCATATACAAGAAACCTAGACAAAATCAAGCAATTATGGGAGTTTTGCCAAGAAGAATGTTCAAAAATTAGCACTCACTACTGCAAGAAACTTTTTCAAAATTATAGAAAAAGACTGGTTGACATTGTAACCTCAAAAGGAGCAGTCACCAAATATTAAATGTAGGAGTTCACTTTGCACATCTTAATTTTCAATTAATATTTTTATTCCAGCTTGATAAAAATTTTTGAAAGTTGTTGTAATTGATTTAATAAAGGTTTTTCATAATGAATATATAGCTTAATTAAGATTTATTGATCATCTGAAAAAAAAGAGACAATTTTTAAGATATTATCTTAGTGGTTACACTTACTTTTGCTCAGTACTGTATAGTATATATATATATGTGTGTGTGTGTGTTTAATATATATATATATATATATATATATATATATATATATATATGTGTGTGTGTGTGTGTGTGTGTGTGTGTGTGTGTGTGTGTGTGTGTATGTGGTATTTAGTGGAAAGTGCTTAATTTCTGTGATAGAGCTAACATATTCAGTTGTATGGATATGAGTTTGTAACCCCGGTTTCACGCTTTTGCAATCATCAGACATGTATATAATATATATATATATATATATATATATATATATATAACCATACATGAATACACAAAAGGTGTGGATCAATAAGTTTAGAACTTGGTACATACATACAGATGTACTTTATATTACTTAAATTTGCATGTCTATAGTAACATACATTTTATATAGTTAAATATAAATTTTGGGGCTCTTATCATTGGCAGATGTTTTGTTATTGAGTTTTTTTTCTCTCTGGGAGTTCTGTGAATGTCATTTTGTACCAATGATGGCTTCAGCTGACATAACTATGCAACAATTTTTGTAGTTATTTTCCTTCCGACTTAATTTAGTTTTTCTTACTTTATTTTTGCCCTTAGATTCTTTCAGCAGTTATTTTTCCTTCTAAATCATTTTTATTTCTTTTCTTCTTTTCTTTCCTTCACTCATTTTCTTTCCATTATCATTCCCCATTCCAGTTTATATTTTTGTTTGTCATTCATTTGTCTTTTCAAATTTTCATTTTTATATTTACTTACTTGTTAAAGTTTCCTATGTCTCGCAAGAAGCCAGATTATTGCACACCTCTTTAAGATTGAACTTTCCTCTTTAGTAACAATCAACATGCTAAACTTGATAAACATTTCTTATTAGGCACATGAAATATTTAATAAGCCTGGCACAAGAACATGATAATATTATGTACAGTAAAGAATAAACTTACTTCTGTTAGGTTATTATTTATTAACCATCTACGTATAGCAGTACCCAAATTTAATGTATTTATTTCCCTTAATTGATTCTGGTATCTAACAAGCATCCAATTTTTTACCTCATCTTTACTAATTTAATTAAGTTCAATGTTAATAGTTTCTTCTCTTCTGCATTTCTCACTTGTAGAACTCTCTTCCAGCTGTTTGCATCCCACATAACTTTCATCTTCAAAGATTTAAATACAATGTAATCATTATCGTCTGTCTTCTTGTTCTTTTATTGCTCTCTCTCTCCTTAATTGTGTTTTTATTTTTCTCATATTTGTTCAGACACAGTAAGCTCTACCCTACGTCATAGTGGCTTTATTACCTTGCTTGGGGTGAAATGATAAAAAAATACTCAGTCCACTAGCAATTTGTTTACAAGCTATCTTTGCCAGCCATTGCTTTCAAGGAAGAAGCCAATGTGGACAGTCTGATTCATGGAGCAATCAAAGTTTGGCATTGTGCAGCAACCAGTTTGTTTCAAAATCACTGAGTTGTAAGAACAGTTTCAAGGCTAGTGTTTGATTACAATGAGTAGAATTTTAATGAGTGCAGATAGTCTGTCTCCAGATCATACTTGCGGAACAATCATTTACAATCAAAATCCCTATATGTGTAATGGTCTACAAGACCAGTTTGCCAATAGTTGGTCTAATTGGCAAATTTAGTTGGGTAGCTCCTGTTAGGGTCTCATCTATGGGGAAATAGTGACCCCACCCCAAACAAAAGCAAAATACTATTAAAGTATAAAAACATTGAATAGGATGACTTCTGTTATAGTTTTTTACTATTTTAAGATGACACAATGACGTCTTATTGTAAAGTTTTACTTTGATATTATATAATATCAAAGTAAACCTACAGATGTTTTGAATGTTGCGAGCAGGATTTCTTGTAAAGACTAAAGACAATACCAAAACCTTAACTCAACATGCTATTTAGGTTGGTAGAAGAAAATTTGTATTTACTCAACCCTTCCACAACGTCAGATAATGACATAGGGTCAGTTTAATTGCCTGCAGTCCCTGCAACCATCAGTTGCACTGGCCTTGGTGCCTTGATTTTCTAAGTGTAGCTTAGATGTGGCACAAGGCCAAAAGTATGGGCATCCAATGAGGATCAAACTTACGACTGAGTCATAATTGTTCTGGCAAGACAAGCTTGCTAACCATTACGCCAAGTCAAGGTTTCCAGGTTGGTAAAAGAAAATAATGGCTATGAGATCATATTAAAAAAAGAAAGATGAAAAAATATTCACAAAAATATAAAAACTGGTTCACTTTTTTCCTTAGTGGCATTCATTGTTTTCTTTACTTTCTTCCATTTTTATTGTTTTCTCTTCTTTCTTTTAATTTCTTTTACTTATTCTTCAATGGTTCTCTCTCTTTGTTTTATTCTTATCTTTTCTATGTCTATACTTGTAAATGTTTACTTTCTCTCTCATTTTCCTTTCTTTCTTTATGGATTCTCAATTAAAGGGAGATAATTTTCATCTCCCTTCCTTTGGAAAATCTTCCTAAACACAGAAAAGGTCTGGTAAGGGCAGAGATGTTTGGTTTCTTCTTACAAATTCCTGTCAAATCCATCTCTTCTGAGCTAACATCATGTCAGAAGATCATGTCTGCTGTTAAAGGCTAACAGCTGCTGGTTTAATGATCCATCAAAGAATCCCTAACTGCAATATGTCAAAATGGATCAGATGAAGAGGCACATTCCAGTAGTAGTAGAATCATACCACCAATGACAATGTCTTTTACCATCAATTAAATCTAATTTGATTTATTGGTTGTCAAGATTTAGGAAGAAGGAATTGAAAAAGGAAGAGTAAAGAAAGAAGAAACCAAGCAAAAAAAAAAGAAAGAAAGAATTTAAGAAACAAAGAGAATATAAATGAAAAAAATAATTATGTTTAAACTTTGCCTAGTCTGACACAGGACAATTTCTTTTCTTTTTTCACAATGATGAGTCACTCAAGGTAGATTGTTACAGAGTAAGAGGCACAGTTTATACAGATATGGGAAAAGATAACGGTTCACCATAGACTTAAACATTTTAAGATTTTAGTAATCAAGAAAGCATTCTCTTGGTAGTTGGTTTTCCAAATCAGTGCTTCATGGGGAAAAGCTGCTCAAGTGGAACTTATATTTCACCAATGGAATACAAAGAGAATGAGGGCAGTTCACTACAATGTGCCTGGCATGGCAAGTCTTAGCCGTGAAGGTAAGAAGTGGTAGAACTAAGGAATGTAGTTTGTCTGAACACTTTCTATGAAAATAGCTATAAAGCAGCAAGAGGTTTGCAATGTTTTGTTCATAAGGAAGTGGTTGTAGAGTGGAAAATAATCCACCAACCAAAAGGACGCAGACATTATCTTGTTGAATTCAGACGACACAACTACGCAACAACTTTTGTTGTTATTTTCTTTCCAACTGGATTTAGTTTTCCTTTCGTTGTTTTGATCTTTTCTTAGATTCTTTCAGCAGTTACTTTTCCTTCTAAATCATTTTTCTTTTTTTTCTTCCTTAGCTTGTTAACCATTACACAATGTCAAAATGCTTAATCAGTGAGTAGATATGACAGTAGTTCAGTTTTCGTTGTTTCTAATGGAATATTCCTTTGCTTAGCTTCTGGAAATCCTCTTTTACTATTCCAATGCACCTTCCGATCTCTACATCACACTTTCTGGCATCTATTACTGCACTGCCATAATAGACTTTGAATTCAAAGACAGGTTTTATGTAGGTTTAAATACTGAAGGAAATTAACTAACCAATAAAGTTGCCCAGACCATTCCAACCAATGCAACTTTATCTTGCTAGTAATCATTCTACAACAAACATATTACTAAGATGAAAAGAAAATGAGAAGAAAGGACTATCAGTTGTAAGAAGACAGACAGTATGGTTGTTAGTAAGAGGAACATGGCATGATGCAATCTACAAACTGAAGATTTCAAAATCAAGTGCAAATGCTTAAATATCTGGCATGTGTTTTAACAGATGATGGCAAATGTGACACCAAAATCCAAAGACACATTGGAATAGTGAAAGATACATTCCAACAGATAAACAAAGTCTTAAGAGACTGGGACATTTCATTTGAAACAAAGAAAAGAATGCTGAAAAACTATGCAATATCAATCCTCATATATGGCAGGACATACTGGACAATTTCCTCACAGATGAAGAGGAGTCTTGAAGCAACAGAGATGTGTTCTTACAAAAGAATGCTGAGAATGCCGTGGACTGAACCTGTGAACAATGAGGAAGTTTTAAATTAAATCAAAACAAGAAACACTCTTGACACAATGAGAAAAGAAGGTTTGGAGAATTTGACACTCACTGAACATGCTGAAGAAGAAGGGCTGAAGGAAACATTAAATGAATGCTAATGTAAATGAATGGTAGGACATAGCCTGAAAGGGATGGTAAGTGGGTAAACATTCCTTAGAGTTACAAAGGAAAGGAAGTGGAGAAACATGATTGCCCACGTACTGAAGGGACACGGCACAGAAAAGAACTCAAGCAGAGCCTCTAGGGAGAACAAAAATCAAATGGAGTAAAAGAAACTGAAAGAAAAAAAGAATTAAAGAAAGAAAGAACTAAAGAACTAACGAAAGAAAGAAAGAAAGAAAGAAAGAAAGAAAGAAAGAAAGAAAGAAAGATAGATAGATTATAGAATATCTGAAGAAAGAGAAGATGGCAAGGGAAGAGAAAAAGGTATTATCTTCAAAAATATTAAAAGAAACGAAATAGAAAAAATTAAAAGTGGAGAAAACAAGCTAAAAAGTGAAAAATATGTTCAAAAACGGAAATAGAAAAAAAAGAAGTAATATGAAACTGATAAAGAAAGAAATAAAGAAATAAAGAAATAAAGAAAGAAAGTAAGAAAGAAACAAACAAACAAAGAAAGAAAGTCAGTGAAAAATATTAGACAATTTAGAATGCGAGAAAAAGAAATCAGTGACTAAAGAAAAAGAGTAGAAAACAAAGAAATAATGAAATTAAAGAAGAAAAACAGTGTCAATAGAATGAAGAAAGGGTCAGACAAAATATAAATAAATGTTTAACTGAAAGAGAAATGTGTTAAAAAATGAAAATAAATGTGTAGCAAAAATAAACAAAAAAGAAAAGAGGTCAAGTCAGTGAAGGAGAAAGGTCAAATGAGATAGAAAGAAAGAAAAATAGAAATGTGTGTAACTGAAGAAAGAAAGAAAGAAAAAGAAAAAGAAACAAGTAGAAGTCTGATAAAAAGAAAGAACGAAAAAAAGCAAGTGAAGAAGGGATTTTTGAAAAAAAAATTCTAAAACAAATTCCCTCCCTTACAGAACTAAAACAATCCTTACACTTCCTTATACTTAAGTGATTCTGATCCCACATCTTACAGTCCTTTTTATCCCCAACCCAACGGGCTCCCCCACCGCCGCACAGCACTGCCACAATTCTTTCCTCTTTCCGGTGTCCCTCCTCACCCATTCCCTATATTCTTGTTGACCTAACCAACATCAACTGGTTTCTTCATCTGTTCACCATCCATCTGGACTGTCTCAATTTCTTTTATCCAAGTCGTGCCTATTCACTGGATCTAATGTGAAGAATTTGCCACCCTTCACGACTCTCATTATTGAAAACGTTCAATCATCTTTGCATTTTTTTTTATTCCTGTTCAAATTCCGCAATATAGTGCCAGAGTTAAAAGAGCGACAACCCCGACCTGGTCATCTTGATAGCCTCTGGAATCTCCAGTCTCCCAGAAAGACGTAGATGGACACGCAAAATGGACAGTCTTAATGTGTTCCAATTACATTTCCTCGTGTTTTCTTTATCTCGTCTTGTTTTTGTTGTTCTGTTATACTTTTGAGAAAAAACAGAATCGTGAGAAAATAGTAGAAAAGTGGTTGAAAGTGATTTTTCACACTCACCGTTTATCTCAATTCCTTCCTGTTTCTATTTCTTCGTTTTAGTGATTTTCTTTTTTCTTCATTTGCTTTTTCTTTTCCTCTTGTTTTTCACTTTACATTTTTGTTATCTTTTGTTCTTTACTTCTTCGTCTTTGTTTCCTTCTTCCAGACCAATAAAAACTTATAACTTAGTCTAAATACTTTAATGAGTTTTAACGTTTCAACCGGATTTCTATGCAAAGCCAACGTCACGTGAGCCCAGAGACAAAAAGCCGGATTAATACGCTTCAATATCGAAAAACTGATGCACAAATCGAATCCTTATTAATTCAATATATAGCAGTGTTTGTAATTAGTCATGCTCACAATTACCACAATTAATAAACTTCTAATAATTGTGGTAAAATTTAAACTGCAATTTACTTACATTTTTACATAAAAGTTTAAACAGATGAATCTTTTCAAAATATTTTTATTATTTGAAATCTTCGGAGAAATTGTTACGTCTTTGATATAAATCTCATACTTTTATTAAATCTCACTATTTATAGTTTACAGGAGAAAAAAGAAGTCGACTTAAAAATTATATGTAGTTTTAATTGTCGTTGATTATTTTGATCTCTAGCCACTTTTTAGTTGATTGACTACAACTTGTTGCTAAGTTTGTCCTGAACTTGTCGTTTATATATATGCATATTGATCCTCATTTTGTGTGACGTTATGACATACCCCTAAGATCTTTAGATGCTATTTTAATTATTAAAGTTTGAATATTATAAATGCTCACTATTTTGCTTAATTTTTTAAACTATGCATTTTCAGCTTCATAAATCGGTAAAATATTAAATTTCAAAGGATCATTAATTGAAACTGGTAAAAATAGTCTTATTCAAGGTTTATACATACAAATACGTCTTATCAGGATAAACGTTATTTTTGGTGAGTACACATGATTAAGTTGCAATCCCTGGTTTGTATTTTCTTAAGCAGTGAAATTAATGACAACTGGCTTAGATAGAAATACCTACATATGTTGTGTGTGTGCGTGCGGTATTTCCAAAGTAACATAGGAGATTTAAAATCTAATAATTTTTGTCCATTGTTACACGATTATGAAGAGGGAAAAATGCAAAAAAGTGGTGAAAAAGCAAGAAAAAGAGATGAAATGAAAGAAACAAACAAATCTATAAAATATTAAATTTTAAACACTGGGATCTCTGTAAAAAAAGTTTAGTAGAACAAGAAAGGAAAAAAGAGACGAAAAGAAAGAAAGAAAGAAAGAAAGAAAGAAAGAAAGAAAGAAAGAAAATACACTAATGAGTTAAACCATATAAGCCCCTGTCTAATAATATGTTGGTCCTCCGTGTACCCGAATAAGAGCACTTACCTATCAGGCATGAACTCTACAAGACCTTTAAAGATTTCCTCTGCGGCATCAAAAAGTCAGTAACAGCTCATTTAGCTGCTGTAAATAACATGACAGAGAGTCTACATATATCTTCAACCAGTTCAGCACAGTAGACATCTTCATATTTGTGGATCATTTAATGTACAAAAAAAATGCAATATGCCTGGCAAAAACCATTGTGTTGTTGAAAGATGCGGCTGCCATCATTGAAAACTGTTGCTTGGTCTTCAGTGATGTTGGGCTGTGTGGTACACAACAAATTACATATTATCAGATCCCAGTGTTTACCAGCAAGTTTCCTTCCATCGGTTTGTTGTTTTCCTGCAGTACGTCTTGATGCCATCACATCCCTGGGATTGCAAGACATATGTACTCCACCGTCCATCTTATTCATACAAGAACGAAATTCATCGAATCAATCAACCGTCATCCATTGATGCAGGATCCAGTTGCGTGCCCATTAAATATACTTTCGTTGAATGTATTGGTTAACATTGATACACTATCTGTTCTATGGCTACACGAACCAATGCCCACAATACATCGTGATATTCTATGATGTAAAGCGTTTCTTCCTCCGTCGTTTTTAATTGTCTGCTGGGAGCTCTTTTCTGTTGGTTCTGACTTGGTGGCAAAGATTCCATTTACTTCTCGAATCAGTAATTATTGGCCGCTCAATGCTTCGTCGGCACTTTAGGATTTCTCACTTTTTGGAATATTTCTCATAGGGATTCATCTTAACTGAACGTAAGCACCCCAAAAGTCATATAGTTTTGGAAATCTGAATGAGTTCTCAGGCCGAGAGAATTTAAACTTTATGAAAGTTTCTAATATCTTTCTTCTTGCCTATAACTACAGCATTCAACGCATCAAAAGGAAGTACTTGGATAAATACCTCTGATCCAGTGGATTGCTATTCTTGCTATATGTCGCTGTCTTGGTTCATTAGTGGAAAGAAACAAACAAACAATGAACGAAAGAGAGAGGGAGAGAAAGAAAATGGTAGATTAAAGAAAGAAAGAAAGATAAAGAGAGCGAAGGGGAAAGAAAAAGAATGCGAAAGAAAAAGAAAAAGAATGCGAAAGAAAAAGAAAATGGTAGATTAAAGAAAGAAAGAAAGAAAGAAAGAAAGAAAGAAAGAAAGAAAAAGAAATATTAACAATTCAAACAAAAAGGAAGTTAACAGAAGACTATAAGAGGATAAAGAAAAAACTGAATGTCATAAAAGAAAAGAAAACAGGAATCGGATTAAATTTTTTTCAAAGAGAAATAAAAGCAAAAACTTGGAAAATATCTTATTTTGTAACATTAATACCTCTAACCCGAAATTCATTCGGAGTTGTTAGTTGTCCAAAATCTAAATATCTTCTTATCAGGTAAACAAGCGACTCTGTACTTGAAGGTCTGGAACAGTTAATCCTTTTTGACATACGATTATCTAGTTCGTGTCTCTCGGTCCATTAAAATAAAGATCAAATCATCTTAAGAAGAGTATACTAATTAATGTCGCTTAAAAATCTTCAACAGTTAATCTTCATGAATCAAAAGGACTTTATCTGAATGCTTTGGTCGATCTTACATTGGATGAAAATCGGATTGAAAGTGCTCAGTTTATTTTTGACTAAATATCAAGTATGATAACTCTTTTTTATGTCTCTTGATTCCTTGGGGAACATAGGGTCGCAACAACACCTCTCCAACGGACGCGGCTCCGGGCGATCCTTTTCAACTTGGCCCATGTGGTGTCGGCTGCCTTCACCTCTGCGTCAACACTTCTGCGCCAAATCTGTTTTGGTCGACCCACTTTTCGCTTCCCTTGCGGATTCCAATCAAGGGCCTGCCTGTTGACACTAGAAGCAGGCTTGTGGAGTGTGTAGTCGATTTCTGTTTCTTGATGTCAATCTCGATTAGCGACTCTTAATTGTATATGTGGATTTCGGTTAATAAATAATTAAATTTGATTTTATTATCTATATACAGTGTAACCTCGGTTCTCGAACGTCTCACATGTCGAACAAATCGGTTTTCAGACAGAATATTCGAGATGAAAAAGCCTCGGTTGCCGAACAAAATTTCGGTTCTCGAACAACATTGCCGAACTGAGCCGAACCGGGTTAACCCGAACAGAATCATTTCTTAGTCGACCGCCATGTTGTATACATTCGTTTGTGGCGCTGTGCTTTTCTTTTCCCCTTTTATACTGTACTGTGCCTTTTTTTTCTCTTCATTAATCCTTATTCATAGTTCCAAAGAAAGCTAACAGTGATATTGGTAAAGGAAAAATAATTGTTGATGATATTGTCTCTTCCTACTCAGGTTCATATGACAAAATCAAAGATCTTTACTATTCTTATAAATAAAGTAACGATCATGTCTTTCCTTCCTTTATCCAAACAATAACATCTCTTTCCTTCCCCTTCCACTTACGCCATCAACTCTCCTACATGCAGGTATGGTAAAATTGAAGTGTTTGTCTATATTTTATCTGTTTAGTATTTTTTTTCTTAGATTTAATGATTTTCATTAGTTTTGTGTATAGAATTGTGCACAAAGTACTGTTGTTAAAGTGTAAACAAGCAATCATCTTGGAACCATGAACGGATTAATCCATTTTACATTGATTCCTATTGGAAAAATAGTTTCGGCTTATGAACATTTCGGGTTACGAATGGGTTTCAGGAACGAATTAAATTCGTGAACCAAGGTTTTACTATATATTTATTTAGACCGTTATACCAAATGATAGAGAGGAAACAATGATATAGTGTGTGACTGAGATTAAACATCTAACTGGAGAAGTTCCAGTCATTTCGTTTGATATCAAAGTTTCCATCGTCATATTAGTCGTTTGACTAAGGAAATAGTGCAATAGCAATACCAACTCAAAACTAAAAACCTCAAGGACACATGGCACAGTGGATAAAAGCGTTGGTTAAATCCAGTGACAGGACCCAAAGAGTGTGAGTTCAATACCAGGCTAAGGCAGTGGAGAACTTTCAGAGGGAAAATTAACAGGAGATAATTGATAACTGACATCCATTAAACATGGCACGTGGAACTAGAACAGTCTATCGCAGGGAGCGAAATAAAGGGTTCAGTTCGACACTCCAACCACCTGAAGAAGGCCAGAGCGTACAACGGCCGAAACGTTGTAATAAATATGGCAACAAATATAAGGACAATAGTTCAAATAATGTACATAATATCTCATCTCAGAAATATAGACAGATACTAAAAACCTTTTGACCCACAAGTATCGTGCTTTAATAGAAACGCAAGCAAACAGTGAGGATAAAATGTTTTCTTCAAATTTTGGTCGAAATAGAAAATTATCAGACGAATGGAAGTTAGACTACAGAATTTGTATCGGTGCAATTGATGAAATATTTATTATACCAAATAGGTACCTCCACAGATTCGCTATACCTAAGTTTTAAAATGGATTTTCAAAAATGAAAAATCTTTCTTGAGACTTTTATTTTAAATTTAATTTCAAGCTAATAGATTAAATTTAATATTTTCAATAAACAATATACTTTGTTGCATTTCAAAATGAATTTAAATTGACTGGAAGGAGTTTTCGCTTTGAAATGACTAAAATCGCTGATTTTAGTTCCATTTTTAGTCATCTTTCATCACAATATAATTCTATTTATTAAAAAAATATTTCAAAAATAAAATATACTTTTCTGTAACTTTATTTGGAGAATACTATCTGATTTAAATAAATTTGATTACAATAAATATTACTTACTTTAATTATAAAATATCAAGAAGTGCATATTTTAACCAGGCGGTCAGCTGTTTATTTAAGCGTTGACAGGTTGACAGCTTAACTGACAGATGGAAGTTTATTTAATTTTGTTCTATGGTGGACATATCTGTAAAATTTATTTGAGGAATATAACGAGCGGCTTTTTTATATAATATTTAACTACCCAGTAATCTTAGAAATTTAGGATAATATTAACTCCGTCATCTATTTTTATTTATTTATTTGAGGTTTAGGTACTTTGATTTTTAAATTTACTATAATTACCACTCTTATTCTCTGACAATGTCGTGTATGAACAACCGTATTTACAAAATTCGGCACGTTTATATACAATATATTTTTTAATTATTTTAAAAATTTTGGGCGTCGATGAATTGTATTAAGCTTTTCCATTTATGATTAGTAAATATAGCGTTTACTTAATGGCAATACCACCTAACCGAGACAAATTAATACAGAAATTTAAAAAGATTTAAAACTTTATAAATTATTCTAAATAAAATTTTTTTAAAAAATGAAAACATTTATTGTATACATCGATTATTCATCGAAAAAAATTCTTAAGATAATAAAAGATTGACACTCAAACACACTGAAATAATCGTATTGGAACTTCCGGCGCGAATGCCAAGCAGTACAGCATGCCGTTTTCAAATTTTTGGTGGAGTAAATTGCGTCAGGGTGCTCTAGTTCTCACAGACGGTTCCCAACTGACCCTACTATACTGTGCAGTTAATAAAATAAATAAATAAAAAACGCACACACGCGAAATCAAAAATAGAAAATAGCGACAAGTTACCCATCTCACTCTGTATATTTATTTGACACGAGAATGGACAGAAAGAAATGATTATAACTGCCATGAATAGCACCTCGGAAAAGAAAATATACATGAAGCAAGGGAATAAAAAAAAAACAAAGCTGACCTGTTCTCGTTCGGCTCTCGTCAGAGTTTGATCGGTAATAGTGGGTTTTCCAGTAAACCAAAGTAGCAAACATAGATTTTTTTTTTTTTTTGTAGCAAAAAAAAAAAAAAAAAACGAAGAAAATATTTTTATTCTCCTTTACACAATTGAAACGGAGAGCTGGAGAGAATTCATTTAACACTTGTTGAAAGACCTCCGCCTCCAATTCACAATCATATGCGCAAAAGGTATCATCTACATACTTAAAATAGCAGTTGGTTCATCTGAAACAAGCAATCCTTCTTCGCGA